CTTCACTTATGTGCATATCTGAATGGAATTTGAATATATATATATATATATATATATATATATATATATATATATATATATATATATATATATATATGACGCCATCTCTGTGAAACGATTTTAAAAAATGACTTCACTTATGTGTATATTTGAATGAAATTTGAATTATAACGTTCAAAAAATAATATATATTTGTAATATATTTTTTTAAGATTTCATATTTTTGACTTCAGGTTTTGTCGATGACTAATTGAAAAGCATCAGCAAGTTCTGTTTTTCGGGTGTGTCGCCCAAGTCCATTCTCTACGTGTTGATTACAAAAGATGTTTTGTCATCAGTGATATCAAGGTTTTCGTCATTTATTTTATTTTTTTAAAGAAACGTCCAACCTATCAGCTTATGGAAATTCGACAACGCGATCCAAAAAGAAGGAATTTGTTTTGAACAGTGAGATATTTAAAGTATTTTTTCAAGATCCATTTTGCTTATTCGTCATTCGAATTCTCATACCGAAAACGAAATTGAGACTAAAGTAAAATAGAATCGAATAATTTCTACTGGATGGGCCTCAACATTTTTGTTTGTAAGGCAAGCAGAAAGATACATTGTCAAAATTTAGAGAATTTCAGCTGATACAGGACTTCAAAATTCACAACTTTGCTGAATTTTGTTTTTTTTTAATTTTACAAATTTTCAAATATTTAAAACTTTTACTCGCAAGCACAGCGTAAAGAGATGATTCGAGCAATTTTCTTGCCTCAGTCTCGAGGCCATCATTTCATATCATTGTCGTCCCAATGTAACAGTTCAGTTTTTTTTCGAGAGTACTGCTACTACTATTTTACTTGTTCAGGAATGCCATTTTCAAAATATTGTCAAAAAGTTCGACGTTTCTAGAATGTTAGATTATAAAAAAAATATATGTAATATATTATTGCATTTGTTATAAACAGATGCGTACAAGCTGACAGTTTTAAAATGAGTAAGTCCCTCGAAATTAATAAGACAACAGCCGATTTTTAAATATTTCTATTGCCATAAACCTGGTACAGTTTGGGAATTTAAGTTCTATCGACTCAGACTATTTTCTTCTATATTCGAATAATATAATATGAAATGGACAAAGTCTGACAATTATTTTAAGTCATTTTTATGCTTATACCTATTTTATATATACAAATATTTACGTAAATGCTCTGTTTATAATAAACAGTATTAACAAAATTTACTAGCCTGAATGTCCGATAAATTGTCATAGCAAATATGCGTCCTCCGACAGGAATCGAACCTGTATCCTGTACGCAACCGTCATACAGCTTGACGTGCTTTTACCGATTCCGCCACAGAGGAGCGTTTCGGTTGGCAAGGTCGATTTTACTGTTTTTAAACTACAATTTTCCATGATTTTCTCACGTATATTCATACTGCTCGATGCGTATCCAAATGTAAACAAATGACGTCACACATTATAAAAAGGACAAAGCCCGACAATTACTTTAAGAGATTTTTATGTTGTATCTATAAAAAAGAATGTATAAACATAAAAAGGTCTTAAAATAAGAATATATGTAAAATATTGCGAACAAACTAAACAAGGGAATATTCCAGGTTTCAAACAATGCATTAGGTTTCAAATAATAAAAATGTTAGAGGAATTGTGAAAAAAAGAATTAGTTCTGATGTATGTTGTTTCCAAGAAACCAAAATCAAAGAAAGATATGATATTATTAGCGGAGTTTTGGTCAGCACAATTTAATAGTTTTGGAAACAGTAAATATTATGGAAAGTTTTTTTGTCATCAACTCGAAATGGAAGAATAATATTCATAAACACTTGACGAACATCTATAGGATACAAATTAAACAAAGATATTGAAAGAACTATCTATACGGTTCCATTATTTCTCGTAAAATCCTTCAAGAGCTGGAAAGACCTGCGGCACTTTTTCGAGTTAATACAGAACACAAATGTTTGAAAAGAACTGATATTTTTCCAAGATGGCTGAAGATGATAGTTCACACTGATTTGCAGTGTGCCTTCAAGTCTAAGCAGCTTTCATGATAACGATGACAATGATAACGGGTTTATCATCATCACAGTAAACATCGTTAACTTCCAATAATTGTGGTAAAATTGAAAACCGCTATTTATCAAGAAAAGTATGTGTGTGTGCTGATGTTTTTAACTGTATCTCTTCATTGAAAGTTGTTTAAGACGAGGATGGGTTTTCTCGCCAAATCCATTTAACTGTGAGACGTTGCCAAGAGTAGTAAGAAATCCGACCAGAATATAATGTCAGCGGGCGTAATCTTAAAACAAAATCAGATGCCTGAATGACACATAAAAAATCTTCAATAAGAGTGTAAAGGAAAGAAAGAAAAAAGGTTAACTATGAATTGTATGAAAACAGAATAGATAGCTACCAGGAAGAGAGAGAGAGAGAGAGAGAGTCGAAGATGCAGGCTACATTTTGGAGATGTTCAAATAGGTACACAAATTTAACTATCTGAGGAGTATTTACACTGTTGACATGCCCTCATATTTATTTCCACATTCACGACATTTCGGCCTTCTTCAGACCATATACGTTAGTATTTCGAACCAAACCCTTTATTTCGTCCACATGGATAGAGTGTTCTAATTTCCAAGTGCCGTGCCTATTTCAGATATCTCAGTTTCAGTTAATCTCCTTTAGTAACTCAATTCTTTAAATATTTTGTCTCCTTTGCTGTGGCCAAGTATTGAACTCACGACTCTTTAGGTCAAGTTTTGAATTACTTCAACCAACGATTTTATCTACTGCGCCAAGTATCCTTGAAGACACCGGCCAAAATGTCATGAATATAGCAATAAAGATAAGGACAAATGATGTAAATAGTTACAATACCTCATCGCAGAATTATAGACTGATATCTAATGAGTGTTGTAACACACGAGGGAATATTCGACAAAAATCCGAAGCGTATAAAAATAGCGAAAGATAATTTCAAGAAACTTAGCAAAATAGTAAGAGATAAGAATATTTCATTGGAAATAAGAAAAGATTGTCACAATTCTGTGTAGATCCTTGTGTAAATTAATGAAAACAAAACGAATAATACCATTATTATTTCCTATTTTCGTATTTTTCCAATAAAACATGACGCAGTACACATATTAGTACTTCGTATGTCCATTCCACGAAGTCGTTCCTTGCGGGTTGACCACAGATTCTCGATTGCGTTTAAATCAGATTTTCCAATCCAGTCTATAATGCTTTGATTTGCTCATTGATAATGCTTGCTATTATGTTCGTGCAGCGTTACAGTTTTCGTACGCTTCCTTGGAATAACGTCCGTCGCAGACAATGGCCGTAGGACAACTAATCGAAAGTCGAGATAATAATGTCTGGACATGATGAAGATTTGATAGAATCACGGGTGACGCAATATTTTTCAAGGCCAAATAAATTTCAGCATACATCTCGAAAAAAGATTCATATGACTGCACACCTTTGCAAATGACCTAATCTGAGTAAAAAATAGAAATCAATTACACACTGTAATCTAGTGGGTCGTATGGTAAAAGAAAGGAAACTAAGGCAGTTGTTTCAATTAATTTGCACAAGGGTGTGCAACCTAATGGCAGTGAGTGTTGGACACCATCTTAACAAATGAAAAAGAGGCTTGAAGCGACAGAGACATAATTCTACCTGTAGGTGCTGAGAATGCAATGGGCCGAACAAACGGGCAGCGATGAAGTTTAAGGAAAATAAAAACCATTTATATTTACAATCAGAAAAGTTGAAATCTGGTTGACATAGTAAGAAATATGAGCTTTAATAAGTACATGATTTATACCAGTGGTTACTCATTAGACGGTCCAAGAGTCACTCTAGGTAGAGTTACTGAATGAGTTTCCCGTAAGGACTGGAACAGGAGAAAGTAATAAGTGCATATGATAAAGATATGTAGGATAAATAACTGCTGGCCCTTGATTTGAGGTGGTTATGATCGCAGTGATCAGAAAGGCATTCTCTCGAGTACCTTGTCCACAAAATAACTGTTGTATCTTTAAAGAAGGTTAAACTGACAAAGATGGTACTCCAGTGAAAGGAACAACAACGTGGGCGTAGATGAAAAAAAAAAGGCTTTATTGTAAAATAGAATACAGTACCGAAAAACAGAGAATTTGTAATTTCCGAAGGAAGGATATCTGCACGCTGTCAGATGTGGCACAAGGCCGAATTTTGCTCTTGCCACTGGATCTAACAAACGTCTTTATCCAGTGACTAGACTCAAAGAGTTGTGAGTTCAATATCAGGTCACAGCAGTGGTGAACCAAACTTGGAGAGTTGAGTTAACGAGAAATAACTAAGGCATCCGGAAGAGGCATGGCACGTGGAACTAAAACAATCTACCCCGGTGGACGAAATAAAGAGTTCGGTTTGAAATTTCTATCACCTGAAGAAGACCGGAGCGCACAACGGCCGAAATGTTTTGAATATGGCAATGAAGATGAGGATAACACTCCGAATAATGTAAATAATGTAATTCTAATACCTCATCTCGGAGATATAGAGGCTGAAACGTTGTGGATATGGCAATGAAGATGAGGATACAGTTCGAATAATGTAAATAATGTAAGTAATCATAACACCTCATCTCAGAGATATAGAGGCTGAAACGTCGTGTATATGGCAATGAAGATGAGAATACAGTTCGAATAATATAAATAATGTAAGTAATCACAATACCTCATCTCAGAGATATAGAGGGAAATTGAAATTATAAGTACGAAAAAAGAAACTGTAAGCATACAATTTATAGTTACATCTAAGCAACTCAACTGTTAATTGGTTGGACCTTGTTGCCAGTGCTGCATCATGAATTTGAAGCTATTGCTTTACTATTTTTGATTCTCTTAATGGGATCCCTATTTTTTTGTTTTGTTTTCTTCCCGGCAAATAAGCTAAGCTTCCTAATTCTAAAAGAAAAAAAAATTCACATCTCCTTGGAGCAATGGTTAGCAGGCTAGTTCCGCCCACCATTCCTGATATAGGTTCTTTTAATACATATTTAGTGCTACTTTTTTCTGAGTAATCATATCTTAAAATCTGTCAAAGTTCTTTACGCTGTTAAACGTGACAAAAACTGACGTGTACCGTTTAATATTATCTTTGGCAGTATTCGTAAGTCTATCTTGACTGGCTTACAATATCTCCAGCTCGAAGCTATTTGTAGGCGCATCTGACATGTTTATGCTGTTACAATATGGCGAGACATAATGGACCAAAAACTTGTGGTTGATTTGTGTACACCAAGTTCGCTGCAATTTACAATAATTAGTTTATTGATTTCTCTTTCTTCCCTTTATTCCTGAACTTTTTTCTTTTATATTTTCTTCAATGTATCCTTCCTCCATTTTCTTTCTTTGACTTCCTTCTTTTTCTTCATCCTACATTTTCTCTTTCTTTGGTTAGATTTCTTCTTTTCCGTCATCCTTCGTTTTCTTTCTTTCTTTCTTTCTTTCTTTCTTTCTTTCTTTCTTTCTTTTCCTTCATCCCTCGTTTTCTTTCTTTTTTTCTTTTACTTCATCCTTCGTTTTCTTTCTTTCTTTCTTTCTTTCTTTTCCTTCATCCCTCGTTTTCTTTCTTTCTTTGTTTTACTTCATCCTTCGTTTTCTTTCTTTCTTTCTTTCTTTTCCTTCATCCTTCGTTTTCTTTCTTTCTTTCTTTTCCTTTATCCTTCGTTTTCTTTCTTTCTTTCTTTCTTTCTTTCTTTCTTTCTTTCTTTCTTTTCCTTTATCCTTCGTTTTCTTTCTTTCTTTCTTTCTTTCTTTCTTTCTTTCTTTCTTTCTTTCTTTCTTTCTTTCTTTCTTTTCCTTTATCCTTCGTTTTCTTCCTTTCCTTCTTTCTTTCTTTTCCTTTATCCTTCGTTTTCTTTCTTTCTTTCTTTCTTTTCCTTTATCCTTCGTTTTCTTTCTTTCTTTCTTTCTTTCTTTCTTTCTTTCTTTCTTTTCCTTTATCCTTCGTTTTCTTTTTCTTTTTTCTTTCTTTCTTTTCCTTTATCCTTCGTTTTTTTTTCTTTTCTTTCTTTCTTTCTTTTCCTTTATCCTTCGTTTTCTTTCTTTCTTTCTTTCTTTCTTTCTTTCTTTCTTTTCCTTTATCCTTCGTTTTCTTTCTTTCTTTCTTTCTTCTTTTCCTTCATACCAAATTTTTCTTTCTTTCTCTGTGTTGCTTCCTTCTTTTCTTTCATCCTTCATTCTTTTCTTTGATTCCTGTTTTTCATTCATCCTTCCGCTTTTCTTTCTTTGTTTTGCTTCCTACTTTTCTTTAATCTTTCATTTTTTTCCTGCTTTATTTTTTTTTCTTCCGCCAACGTTTTCTTTCTTTCTTTTGGTTCCTTCTTTTCCTTCATCCTTCATTTTTTCCTTGTTTATCTTCCTTTTCACCGTCAGTCTTCGTTTTTTCCTTCTTTGTTTTCCTTCCTTCTTTTCTTTCATACTTCGTTTTCTTTCTCTCTTTCTTTGACTTTCTTCTTTCCCCTCATCCTTTGTTTTCTTTCTTTCATTCTTTCTTTCTTTCTTTCTATGACTTCCTTCTTTTCCTTCATCCTTCATTCTTAATTTTCCTTCCTTTCGTCTTTCTTCCTTTCTTTCTATTTGCTCCGTTTCTTTTTATACTTGCTTTCCAATTTTCTTTTAATTAATTTGAGTTTAACACGGTATGTTATATTTGTTTGCTATTGTCATATGACTTGAGGGTCTAATACGGTGTGCCGGTGCCTAAAAGTCTGCAGATCGCCTTATACGCCAAGTCATTGGAAGCACCAAAATCATACGACTAAGCATCTCCATTGCAAAGACACAACGCACTTATTTTGAGAGTTCAATCTTTGCTGAGCACTCCAAATATGTGCACTTGTGCAAATCTAAAATAAAATCAATAACTCCTCAGTATTAATCCCAGCGACAATATATATTGTTCATAACCTCTGATCATATTTGCCTTCGAACGAAAGCAACATAAACACATGGTCGTGTTAATGTGGGCTGCCGACACACATACGTGTGGGCAAGGAAAAGAATGCCAAGTCTCTGCAAATATTGACACGCAGTAATCAGAATTCTTTGACCCTTTTTCTTTTGTGAAATGATGGTGGCACTGCCGCCGGTCGGAATCGCAGTGGTCAGGGACGTTTCTGCTCAAAGACAACATCTTGCCAGAAGACCGGGATACCGCTGAGAAGCTAAACAGATACTACATTTTAATCACAGTTCTTGCTACAGTCCTCATTTTTGACAGATAATATGCTGTTATATTGTAAAATTCTGTTCATTTGAGAATTGTAAAATGATAAATGGTTCTTGTTCTGTCTTAGCTGGTATATTTAATCTGGATATTTTTCATTACTTTAGTAATATAATTCCATCTGTTTGGCTAGCAGCCGATTCTTCGGGCATAAAATTATTCAGGTTTGGATGCAAAGAAACACTCAGTATCAATTTTAACCTCATCACAACTTTCCCTTTAAAAATGCTGCATTGATCTGAAAAAAATTCTATATTTACAAAATCTTTTCTTGAGTGACTCGAACTATATGCAGTCTAGTATTATCGTGTAAAAGCAACACGACATTACGATTAAAAATGGCGACATTTTTAAAAATGTATTGTCTATTGACGACAAAAGTTTTCCGTATTGACTGTTTCGTTTTTGTTTAGCACGACAATCAAAATGTTCCCCCAAACACAAAACATAACAGATTTTATGCGTAGTTCCTGATTTGGAGATAGATTCCTCTTTTTTTTTTAGTAGGGCCATTATCGTTGAATATATTCTAGCATAGAACTTGTTTTTCGTCACTGGTAGTGATTTTAACAAGGAGAGGTTTGGTAGCAAGTCTACACTTCAATGATGATCAGATGGCAGCACTTTCATTAAGCTGAGAAGCAATCAAATGATGAGCTGCATACTGAACAAAATTAGACAGTTTTCCGAGTTCACAAATGTATAACGCTTATTGAAGTCTTTTGCTGAGTCAAATAATGTTTGCTCAGAATTTTATTCAATTACTATTTGCAGAAGTTCAATATTAGCAGAACTTGGTCATCCAGATCGAGGGTTGTCTTTATAGGAAGAATTTCCTGATATAAACTAGTCAAACTATCTTTGGTATGTCAGGACGTTTAAAGCTTAATTTCCATAAACAGAAAAGAAAGCAGCTTAACACGTGAAGACTAATCTTGAGTTTACTATCAGTATTAATAAGTACTCTAAAAGGATCATATCAACATGTCGAGTGAGCAAAATGAGGTATTCATGTCGGCGAACAAGATGAGGTACTCCTAGACAAAAACAGCGGAAGGTCAATAGTCTATCTCCGTAGATTAAAAGGGTTCAATTCAAAATTAACTGAACGTCAATCTGATAAGACAGGGCTTAATGGTCGACATGCTATGATAATATCAACAAAGATGATGACATTAGTTAGAGTGTAAATAATGCGAAAAATGATAACTCCTCGTCTCAGTATTTAGGGGGTATTTACTCTGTCCCCGCACGGATGAGATGTGACACAAGGTTTGGGTTTTTTTGTGGAGGAACTGAGCGCGTACACCCGGGACAGGAACAAAAATTACCCTCAGCCACTGCTAGCCCCAGTGCGAGCACCGTTCCCTCCCTCTTGTGCAATGGGAGGGCGCGGCCTCGAGCAGCTGTTCCTCAGGGCTTGGCACCTCTTCAGTATTATTTTCCTCAGTTGCCTCTCTGTCCTTAGACAGTGAAGCCCCTGAGCGCACTCGGCCCAAAGACAGAGGCACAACTGAGAGATAAGTAGACACGACCTTACCCAAGAAGAGTAAGGTACACGCTGCTCCCTTTTATAGCAAAGTACACGGTGTTTACTCAATATCTTTATTATATATTATCTACTTCTTGGCAATTTCCAGTTTTAACAAATTTACATATTGATTTTTTAAAAAAGTTTATTTTATTAATTAACTGTCCTTCATTATTGTTCCTTTATTCGACGATTGTTTTGATTTTCATATCAAAAATAGTTCTGTTTAAGAATCTCGTCTTATATAGTGCAGAACAGTGTTTGAAATCTGCATTTTACTTGGCCTACAAGTTTGCATCTGTATATTTTTCTCTAGCTATAAGAAGCCAGTTTATGAATGAACTCTTCATTTAAAATTTTTCTTTTAAAGATTTCATGTAGTGAATATATCTTGCTTTGCGAAGCGATAGCGAGCGAGCGAGCGAGCGAAGCCTGCTAGTGGAATATAATATTCATTTACAGTAATTTCTCCAAAAGCTATTTCACTTGAGAACCAGAAATATAATGCCCTTTCGTTGTTTTGACATTTCGCTGATAAGAATAGATTCCGATGACTGGTAAAAGGACAAATGTAACGGGGAGAGACTCGTGCTTTTCTCAATATATGGAAGTATCAGCGCAGGCCAAGAGCTTGACTCTAAAATCGATTCATTGATTTTCGCTCAGAGTTGCTACTAGCTGCGCCCACATACGCCACTTGTATATCAATGTACGTTGCCTGCGCAATCGTGTGTCCACGCATTTATGTCGAGATAAAGACGAAAATGTCATTCTACTCACAAGAAAATGAGATCAGATTGAACACGCTTGTCTTGTGACACATCTTTCTTCTCAAAGGCTTGGCTTAAACATGAGAACTGTCTTTCTTGACGACTTGCTTAAGCGGGCTCCTGCTCTAGCTTAGAGAAACTGCCTACAGAAATAAAGTAAAATTATCAATGTTTTGGTGAACAATATATAACTCTTCTGCGATCAGAAGGTACTTTTACTTTGCCTAAGAACGTCACCTGTCAGTCAGATTTATAGTAGAATTTGGTCTGGTTAAAAAGCCACCAAAGATCTGCAGATACATGTAAACTGCTCTTAACTTTAATCGTAATCTTCTTACATATACGTCAGTTTATAGACAGTCGCAAGTTTTACGCAATTTGTTATTAGCATGATGTATACACATTTCCCAATTTTTATAGTAGAACTTTTTTTGTTTTTTTCATTTCTGTTTATCAAATTTTTACGTCAATAAAAATAAACTACAATCACATTCTATCCAATTATATATTTACCAATATATTTGGTAAATATATTTGCAATAATTTGTTGTCATTTATCAGGCAGCTATTTGATACCATTTGAATAAAATTATATAGGTTCTGATGCAAAATCTTTCCGACGACCTCTGGAATCTGGTTAGAGAATGTTTCCACATCAAAGCGTTTTGCAGCGATTGGAAGAATCAGAAATTCATCTTCTCCCCCTAGCTATGGATTAAATATCAGGACTTAGAAAAGTTATTGTTATTTTAAGACAATTTTAAATGTAATATTCACTCGAAAAAAGGATTATTCTTTGAATCAAAGATATGTTTCGGTGTTAAATAAGCTTAACGGGTTGATAAACCGTAAAGAAGAAATCAATCAATTGCAGCGATCGTAAAACTTAATAATCGATTGGTGCAATTCCAGGTGAATATGGCGTTTCTTTCTGTTAATTTTACCTGAGTAGCCATGGATGAGAATATACGCCATTCCCTTTAATTCACCGTGTACGCTGCCACTGCCTGCAAAAATTAAGGTAGGTTAGTGTGCTCCAGATTTATTCTTCATTGCCACGTGTTATTAACAAATAGAATGAGACATTTTTCATTACAACTGGTTCTTTAAAACTGAAATTACTTATGACTAAACACTGTAGATGATAGAGTTATATATTTTTAGTTATTCATTGGTGAATTAAACTTTGATTTAATAATCAATAAAATTTTAGTAGTGTCTAAATGACCTGATTAAAAAAAAAAACAACAACTTTTGATTGCGTTGTTTATGCGATTAGGAAAAATAACAAAGACACAGGCACTACGACATTAAATGTAGTAAATGCCTTGTTTATGCATGTAAAGAATTCTATCATCAATTTATGTGTGTTTGTGTGAAGATTGATAGAATCAAAAGTAAACAATTAGATTTAAACATTTTGTTGGTTATATCCTGACTGTTTGTGGAACGCTCGGATTCAGATTACTGCAAAGTGAGGTCATGTATAATCTAAGTTTTAATCGCAGTGTTTCCCCCCACCAAAAAAAAATCTACCAGGATGAAAGCAACGAAAATTTACAAATGATACAGACAGCACCAATTCGTTCTTCGATAATGAATGAAACGGTCGAAAGTAACAGAACAAACATAAACGCCGGCCAGTTTATACTAAATTTTGATC